TCAAAGAGTTTGCATTCTAAATAAACAAGACAATTAAAGGGTATAACATCAAGCAGAAGGTTAGGGTCTGAGGCACAGAGTGGTTAAGTGATTTGACCAAGGCCACATGGGAAATCTGTGGCAGAGCTAGGAGTTCAATTGCCTGCATCTGAGTCCAGTGCTTAACTACAAGACCATCCTTTCTCTATATGGGTTTTTCCTGGAGGGATCAAAGAAGGAGAAGCATTAGTAAGGCAGCCTTAATAAAGAGTAGAAAGAGTTGAAGATAAATGGTGGGATCCACAAAGGGACTTAGACATTGCACCTTTGAGCATCATGGTGCCTAGAAAAATCACAGGACAGCACTGCAATCCACAAAGCCGGAGTTAGGTGCCTAGGTTCCCTATACAATGAACCAGTCGCGATAGGCACCTTAGACTACAAACCACAAAGCCAGCACACTAGGCAGGGAACTGCCTAAACTAGCCAATGGGAGATGCCAACCAGAAGTGTATGTGCTAGGCCTAACCCCTCTCATGGAGTTAGGTGCCTAAGTCCGGGCTGCAGGGAGACACTTAGCTCTGCTTGTGATCCATGAATCAGGGAAAGATAGACATTCGGCCGACTAGGTCGCCTGCAGGGCTCGAAACTAAACACCTGCGTGTGGGAAACAACCCCCCTTATAAAACTTTACCTTAGTAGTGAAGGTACTTAGGTGGTGGGAGACCCCAAGTTCAAGTCCCCCCTGTGATGGGTTCCCCCAGGGTACCACCTGGAACTGGGGTATGACTAAGCCCCCTGATCCACCAGCCTGGGCTCCCTCTAATACTGTACTGCTGTGACAAGCTACAAAGCCTTCCAGCCTGCACTTTCACCAGCATCGATACAGGTAGGGACACACCCAGCTGCAGTTACAGGCAGGCTCTTTGACCAGCCCCTGCATGGGAAAGCTACTCCCAGCTCCTTAGGCCCACCCCCCTCTGGAGTATAAACCCAAAATTATACCGTCTTGCGCTGCACAGGGAATTGTACAGATGATGTCACTCCCCGCCTTATCTAGCTTTTGCATATAAGGCGGGGAACCCTTTGTCCCCAAAGCGGTCTGAGGAAAGACACTGACATCCCAAGATGGAGTCTAGAGACATGTGGTTACATCACATGTCTTTGTAGAGTCCTAGCAGCCATTACTCAGAGGCTGTCTGTAGCATTCCAGGTGGGAGATAAGCTTCTCCTAAGGCTTATTGTTTTTTCCTAATGGCTCATTGCCATGAGTATGCCCTTCACCACCCACAATATAGACGGAAAAAATCTTGTTTAGTGACCGTTACCGAGGTGTAACTACATTTGAAATACAGATACATAGTCAATATTCATAACTTCAGATACAAAAATGATACATGCATGCAAATAGGATAACCATAGTCAGCAAATCGTAACCTTTCCAATAACACCTCACATGACTTATCTTGCATAAAATACATTTTGATTATGTTATAATCATATCATCATAATATTTCTGTGAAGAATATGGGGTGCAATGCCCCCTTTCCCCTCCCCCCCCCGTCTGATGAGAAGGATTTGCCACATCTCAGGTGAGTGCCCTAACCTCTGGCCAATGTGATATTCTGAGGTGGGGCTCCCTCAATTTCTCATATTGAAGTTGTTCCACTTAAATTAAATAATTAAATATTCATTGAGCCAGAAAAAGAGTTAGAATGACTCTGTAGCCTAGTGGTTAGGGCACTCAACTGTGAGGTGGTAGAGCCATGTTCAAATCCCTTCCTTCCCCCACCCCCTTCAAGAGAAGGGGGGACTTGAGCTATGGGTCTCCCATATCCCAGGTTAGTACTGATCCACTAGGCTAAAAGTTATAATGGAGGTCCTTCTCTTCCCCAGCTCCAGCTGTTTTGTGTGAACTCACCTGACTGGTAGGCAGCCTCTGAGCCCACCTACCACACTGGGTCCCACATGTGACTTAGTAGTCCATACATCGTTATAGATTTTTAGGGCATCATCAACTGTACCAGTGCATTTCTAAAAGGCATTTTCTAGATCCATTTTCTAGATCCAAAGCAAGTGAATTACTTTATGTGTCATTTCCGCAGAGGGAACCTGAGAGTCAGAAGGTTCCATTCTCAGAAACTTTTAATAAAGAGGAGTGCCTCTTGCCAGTGCTACAGAAAGAAAAAAGAACAGCTGAGCACCAACAACCAGCATCAAGGTACACCCAAAAGGCTATGATTACGGACACAGAAGAGAGCACTAGAATAAAGGAAGGAGAGGAAGCTGCACACAAATACATTCACATTCAAACTCTCCAAACAGGTGATATCTTTGTAAGTATGTACTTAGCGCTCAGATGACCCTGAAAGAAAACATAGGGGATAATTGGACAACTCGTATCTCTTGAATATGGAGCATTTAGACAAAAGAGCTGCCCTCATTTGATACATGTTTCGTGCCTATTTATTACTTGGCCTTTTACATTCCTTTTCCTCTAAGAACAGTTACACATATAATACAAGTGATAATCATAGCAGGTAAAGATAGAACTTCATTCCCTTTTTTACAGAAAGGGAAGCCTGCTAAAGAAATAAATGGAGCCAATTAGTGGAATATAATTACAAATTCCTTGGAGTTAAAATGTGCTGCATAACGGCAGAAAATGCAATTTGCCATATGGTATTGGAAATATCCGGAACAACTATTTTCCTCTGTCGGTTTTCTGCAAACTGAGCATAGACTTGGATTATTTGGGGCTTTAAGGATTTGAATTATGCAAGGTAGCTGACTGAATGCCCCAAAGCAACAGAGAGCCTAGTTCAGTTCATAATATAAAAAGTAGTCTAGTTTTTGAAGTCTTTTTAATAAAAGTCTGCGGTTTCAATTTTCAGGAGGGGGTTGGGAAAACTTCAGAAACTTTTACATGGTCAGGGCCAGATTCTGATCTCCTCACTTTGTTGAATAGTGCTCTATTGCATGAACACTCCCATTAACTTCAGTGGGTCTATTTGCAGAGGTAGGTGCTCCTCACTGAGTAGACTATCAGAATGGCACAACATGCTTACAGAATGTTGGAAAATCATTAAGAAAGGGATAAATAATAAAACAAAATATCACATTGCCTCTATATAAATCCATGGTACGCCCACATTTTGAATACTGCGTGCAGATCTAGTTGTCCCATCTCAAAAAAGATATATTGGAATTGGAAAAACTTGGGGAAAGGTTCAGAAAAAGGCAACAAAAATGATTAGGGGTATGGAACAGCTGCTGTATGAGGAGAGATTAATAAGACTGGGACTTTTCAGCTTGGAAAAGAGATGACTAAGGAGGGATATGATAAGGGTCTATAAATCATGACTGGTGTGAAGAAAGTAAATAAGGAACTGTTATTTACTCCTTCTCATAACACAAGAACTAGGGGTCACCAAATGAAATTAATAGGCAGCAGGTTTAAAACAAACAAAAGGAAGTATTTTTTCCACACAACACACAGTCAGTCTGTGGAACTCTTTGTGAAGGCCAAGACTATAACAAGGTTCAAAAAAGAACTACATAAGTTCATGAAGTAGGTCCATCAATGGCTATTAGCCAGGATGGGCAGGGATGCAAAACCATGCTCTGAAGTGTCCCTAAGCCACTGTTGGAAGACAGGATATTGGGCTAGCTGGACCATTGGTCTGACCCAGTATGGCTGTTCTTATGTTCTTATGTGCAGTAAAGCTTGACAAAAATCTCCACCAGTTGTATAAGTTCAACATACTGCTAACTTTATTGACCTTATGGCATTAACAGGGCCATTAAATTAAAGAGAAAAGAAACAATGAAAACAGACCTACAGCTTTAATTAAGGCAATTCTTTTGTTGTAAGAGCAGAATATACTTTTATAGCTTGAAAATGATCTCATATTTCATTTCTAAGTGAGACTTTACAAGTACTAGTTTGTATCTGTTTCACAGCAAAAAAAAATGGGGGGAGCTTAGACACTTGGAGAGCAATTTTACAGTGAGATATAAATCTTGGAGATCAAGATGGGTATTTCTCAGCTGGATTTTTGTTACATATCTTACATATGAACAGTGGGACACTTCCTTATTTACGTTCTCCACACTAGTCATGATTTTATAGACCTCAATCATATCCCCCCTTAGTCATCTCTTTTCCAAGCTGAAAAGTCCAAGTCTTATTAATCGATCCTCATATGGAAGCCATTCCATACCCCTAATCATTGTTGTTGCCCTTTTCAGAACCTTTTCCAAGTCCAATATATCTTTTTTGAGATGGGGTGAACAGATCTGCATGCAGTATTCCATGGATTTATATAGAGACAATATGATATTTTCTGTCTTATTATCTATCCCTTTCCTAATAATTCCCAACATTCTGTTCACTTTTTTTGACTGCTGCTGCAAACTGAGTGGATGTTTTCAGAGAACTATTCACAATGACTCCAAGATCTCTTTCCCGAGTGGTAACAGCTAATTTAGACCCCAACATTTTATATGTATAGCTGGGATTATGTTTTCAATGGGCATTACTTTGCATTTATGAACATTGAATTTCATCTGCCATTTTGTTGCCCAGTCACCTGGTTTTGTGAGATCCCTTTGTGACTCTTCGCAGTCTACTTTGGACCTACCTATCTTGAATAGTTCTGTATCATCTGCAAATTTTGCCACTGCACTATTTACCCCTTTTTCCAGATCATTTATGAATGTGTTGAACAGTACAGGTCCCTGGGGGACACCATGATTTACCTCTCTCCATTCTGAAAACTGACCATTTATTCCTACCCTTTGTTTCCTATCATTTAACCAGTTACCGACCCAGGAGAGGACCTTCCCTCTTATTCCATGACAGCTTACTTTGCTTAAGAGCCTCTGGTGAGAGACCTTGTCAAAGGCTTTCTGAAAATCTAAATACACTATATCCACTGGATTCCCCTTGTCCACATGCCTGTTGACCCCCTCAAAAATTCTAGTAGATAGGTGAGGCATGATTTCCCTTTACAAAAACCATGTTTACTCTTCCCCAACAAATCCACATAGGATAATTGTGATGTGTAGATTTTCCTCTCTTTAAAGTACACACATATCCCATGAACAAATAGACCACTGCCTATGCTGATAAACCTACTGGTTTGCCAAGTGGTTTTCTTTCCATACTGCCTGTAAATTCAAGGATTAATTGTCATCTCTCATCAGAGCAATAAATATTGCACACCTAGATAAGGTAATAGATGCAGGAGAACTCCCAGATTGGATGCTGGTACCAAAAAGGTTTTTGATAGCAACAGAACATGCACAATCGGTACTAACATTAGGGATGGTTGAATGGGTTGGGATAAGCTGGTCAAAATTTTAGAAATTTCAACTACACTTTCCATTAAATGTTTGATAAAATTTTCACAAAAATCATCCATTTTTAAATAGCTCTATTAAGTACCCCCCAAACCTTTAAAAAAACTTGAACTGAACATGGAACCAAAACATTTTTGAGGTTTGAAAATTTGTCCTGACTTTTTTTGTTTGCCAGTTTCTATTCCCATGTTCTTCTGCAATGCCAGGTTCCAGGCGGGACAGGGAGTGGATGTGATAAAAAATTCCATGAGACAAGCTGTTTTTGTGTTAGTCTTAGGCCAATCTGGTTAAGCATCCAAATTTTTAGTTATTTTTGCAGTGGTCAGATTTGGGTCCTGTTGAAGTCAGTGGCAATATTACCAGGATCACAATAGGATCAGGTTTTGCCCAAACACCTGAGAACATTGGGCTTTATCCTGCAAAGAGCTGGAGCACCCCACTCTCCAGCTTCCACTGCAACCAACTTAGAATATCAGGGTTGGAAGGGACCTCAGAAGGTCTTCTATTCTAACCCCCTGCTCAAAGCAGGACCAATCCCCAGACAGATTTTTACCCCAATTCCCTAAATGGCCCCCTCAAGAATTGAACTCATAACAGTGGGTTTAGCAGGCCAATGCTCAAACCACTGAGCTATCCCTTCCCCCAACTTATCTTTAAACATAAAGGTGTTTAGCTCTCTTTGCCTTTCCCCTGCACACCCCCATCTTGCTGAATACAGCTCGGCCACACTGGAGACTGTGGCACTCTGCACCATTTCAGTACAGTAGGCCTGATTCTCCATTGCCCTGCATGTTGGGCCCTCATTTATATCTTTGCAATAACACCTGAGCATAAAATGTAATCAAATCAGAATGCTAGGGCCTGAGTCTCATTTACCCTAATGTCCCTTTACAGTGCTCTTGAAGTTTACAAGGATCTTAAAGTGGGTGCAAATATAATTGAAACCTACTATACTATATTTAGTTGGGGTTGGTCCTGTTCTGAGAAGGGGGCTGGACTAGATGACCTCCTGAGGTCTCTTCCAACCCTGATATTCTATGATAAGGCCTTGCTATATTTCCAAAGCACTGTAAAGAGGCTTAAGGCCTGACCTACTCCTAGTTTTTGTACTGGAATTACTGTTTTGTTTGCAGGTGTGGTTATTTTACCAATATAATTATACTGGTACATCCCTAGTGTGGACACAGTTATATTGGTATAAAGATGTCTGTCAGAAGGGGTCAGGGGCCCCAAGCTACCTCTGCCAGGCTCCACAAGGGGAGAATGAGGCAGCTCAGGTTGACCTGGGAGTAGTTAACTCACAGAATAACTGGGAGCAGTTAAATAGGCAGGAAAGCACTCGGGTGTGATAAAAGGTTAAGGGCCTCAGTTAGAGGGAATACCTGAGGAGGAAGCTGCCAGAGAGGGACTGCAGAGAGAGGGTTCCTCCAGCACACTGGTGAGAAGCTGCCTGAGAAACCAACACTCCACATGGGGAGAAGCAGGGCAAAAGGCTGGGGAAGCCTACGTGTATGATGTAGCTCAGGGAGCAGCAAGGGACTGAGAAGGATTGGTTCTGGCTGTTGCAAAAAAGGGCCCTGAGCTGGAAACTAGTGGAATGGGTGGGCCTGAGTTTCCCTACCTACTCCAGCCAAGGACTTTGAAGAAGAAGGCTTGAGACCCAGGGCTGTCTAACCCCCATTAAAGCCATGACTCCCATTATCCTGAAGGGGACATAGACTATTAGAGGGGTGCTGGGACTAGAGGTGCTGGGGGTGCTGCCGCACCCCCTGGCTAGAAGTGGTTTCCATCATATACAGGGTTTACAGTCTTGTTCAATGGCTTTCAGCACCCCCACTATACAAATTGTTCCAATGCCATAGACTATTATGACCTGGCCGGAGGGCTGAGTCATAACAAGGAGTTGACAAACACAGCATAGGGGTGAATGAAGTCACGTCGTGTAGGTCCACATCCTGCCACAAGGGAGCGC